TTGTTTCAACTGAACTGTTTTAATGGATGTTGGAAGCTGCCCGGAGGCCCTTGCAGGGAGTGGGCAACTCATACAAGTCAAATAAATAAATAAATAAATATGCAAATTACCTACCTGCCTACCTTTGGAGTCCATCTAAGTTCTCAACTAATAATACTGTATTGTCTATCGGATTTTGTAGATAGCCTCTCCATTGACAATGAAAGGGCTTTAGAATCAGCAAGGGTGCCTCTAATGGTCTTCTGTAATACATATTGATTAAGTGATTGATTGGATTTGTATACTGCCCATCGGCAACCCAGGCCACTCTGGGAGGTTCACATGGCACAGACAGTACAATAACAAAACAATGTATAAATTAATCAATAAAATTTAAACAACTAAAAATAAAATTGGTTGTTGTGGGTTTTTCGGGCTCTTTGGCTGTGTTCTGAAGATTGTTCTTCCTAATGTTTCACCAGTCTCTGTAGCTGCCATCTTTAGAGGACGACACTTTGTGCTCTGGTGTAGTTGGCATGGGAGTGGAGTATTTATGGCTGTGAGATGGACTTTTGTCTTTTTCTGTAGATGGGTGATTAGTGTGTATTGTTGTGATAAGGAGAGATTATTTGTCACTGTGGTTTATGGGTATTATTAGCTGGTCTTTTGTGTGTAGTGATCCCCTGTCCTTGTGGCTGGGTAGAGTTCGTTGACCTTTTGCACACTGTATTTTCGAGAGCTGGGAGCCAAGTTTTGTTGAGTTTCAAATTTTCCTCTTTTTTGTTGAAATTCTGCTGGTGCTTGTGGATTTCAGTGGCTTCCCTGTGCAGTCTGACATAATGATTGCTGGTGTTGTCCAGTATTTCAGTATTTTGAAATAGAATTTCATGTCCAGTTTTAGGGCATGTTCAGCTACTGCAGATTTTTCTGGTTGTTTTAGTCTGCAATGTCTCTCATGTTCTTTGATTCTGGTGTGGATACTTCGTTTTGTGGTTCCAATATATACCTGGCCACAACTGCAAGGTATCCGGTATACTCCTGCAGTGTTGAGGGGGTCCCTTCTGTCATTTGCTGACCGTAACATTTGTTGCATTTTTGTGGTGGGCTTGAATACTGTTTGTAGGTTGTGTTTTTTAAAGTTTCCCCATGCAGTCCATGACCCCTTTGATGTATGGCAGAAATAATTTATTTGTGGGCAGCTGTTTTCTTTGGTGTTGTTTTCTTAGTTTGCTGGCTCTTGTGATTTCATTTTTGGAGTAGCCATTTGCCTGTAAGGGCCAATTGATATTTATCAATAAAATTGATAAACATGAACATAAAAAGGAAAGGATGGTGTGGTTGAACTGTAAGTTGGATCAAGGGGGAATGGAGTCTGAGAAGGCCTGTCTAAAAAAGAATGTTTTTAATAATTTTTTGAAAGTTCCCAGTGAGGGTGCCAGGTGAATTTCGGGCGGGAGAGCATTCCACAGTTGTGGAGTTACCACCCGGAAGGCCTGGTTTCTAGTCATTGATTTCCAGTCCTCTCTCGGTGTCAGAAACCTCAACCACCTGGCCTCGGAGGATCTTACTGAATTCTAGTACAGTGGTGCCTCGCATAACGAGCGCCCTGTTTAACGACGAATCTGCATAGCGATGCGGCTTTTGCGATCACAAAAACGGTCGCATTGCAATGTTTCCCTAACAGCTGATCGGTGGTTCCAAAATGGCTGCCGGAAGAAAAAATGGCCGCCCGCAGCGTTTTCACTTGGTTTCCTCGCTTACCGAGGCGGCGAAAATGGCGGCCGCATGGAGGATTTACGCATAGCGGTGAGTTTATCCCCATAGGAACGCATTAAACGGGGTTTAATGCGTTCCTATGGGGTTTTCCTTTCCGTATAGCGACGATTCCAGATAGCGACGATTTATCCGGAACGGATTATCGTCGCTATGCGGGGCACCACTGTACTGTACATCCGTGTCAGATTCCTCATCCCAGCTGTCATCTCATTTCCAGTTCTGCAGCTTTCCATTGCAAATGCCTCTTTGGCCCTTCTATGCACATTGAAAAAGTCCTCATCCAATTTTCAACCTTCACAGCAGCTTTGATAGGAATTAAAGTTAAAAAGATGTCTGTAGAATCAACAGCTTTGTTTGTTTACCATCATTTTGTCATGTTGAACTTTGTTTAAGGCTTTCTCAAAGTCAACAGAACAAGCATATGTTACCTTTTCCAGATGTGCAACACATATCTTCACTCTAAACGCAGGCCTTACTTATCAGGTCAAGCAAGGCACATAAGAGGAAAATAAATCAGGAGAGCTGTAAAATAAAGCTGAAGTTGACTCAGGCTAAAAAAGGCCAGTAAAGGCCCATGGAAATAAGGAAACCCACAGCGACAGGCAAGCTGGGCATAGAGGAAATAGCAGTACATGCCACAGCACACTTTGATTTACAAAAATCTTCTGAATACTACACATATATGGTGTGGCTGAGGTATATTGTAGCACTATTCAGCAGAGTCAGTCAGAAGCTGCCACCTATGTGTGAATTTTAGTAATTACTCTAACAAATTCTAATTGCTTAAGAACCTGCAGCATGCGCTTATCATCAATTCTGGCTGATCTTAGACACTGTCTTGTTTATTTGTTTGTTCACTTGCTTATTTGCCATTATAGTCCTTGCTCCTTTCTTGAGTGCATTCGTTCATCTCTCAGGCAGCAGTAGCACCTTCTCCAAAACTTGGAGGTGTCCATCTGGGAATTTTGTAAAAATAAGCCTCACTATTCACATTGTGCTAGTCTCATAGAGATCCGTCTTTATGGATGCAGTTCTTTTCTAGGGTGCCACATTTCAGTCAGATCTGTGTTTTGGACTAGAATACTGTAAAGTTATAGTTTATTGATTTGGCTTTATTTTTAGAGTGCTGTTCAATGAATCTGTATTCCATTCATCACATGTAACGTTAGGGTTGCAAATTTTCCTACAGAAACAAAGATGCTCGTTTAGAGCTGGAAAACTGGGGATTGCAACTTGGCTGCCAAGCTACACTGACAGGCCGTGTGGTTGCTTCAGAAAAAATCTTCATGCAGAATGATATGGTGAGTATTAGAGATGGGTTTCCTACTGGAAGTCACATAGTTAAATGTGTCCTGCATTAGGAGGTGCTCCAACATGATTGCAAGTATTGCCTTTATGTTCAGGTTTTGTGCCAGATCAACGTTTAGCTCACCCAAGGTCAGATATGAAATATTTTTGCAGGTGAGAGGGACCAAAGGCTGCCCATCAGGTTATTCATTTTTATACAGTTAATATGTATATCTTTTATGATTTAAAATAGCAATGGGTAGAAGGTGCAATAAGATTACAAAGATGGCTGTGGAAACTTCAGGTCTTTCGTGGTTGTGAAAGAGAAATAGGAAAGAGAGAAAAGATGAGAGTGAGCCGTCCCCTCAAGTAGAAGCGTCAAAGAAAGAGGGAGGGAGAAAAGGAAAGGAAGGATTGGTTGTAAAAGAAAAGGAAGGGGAAGAATTGAAGAAGAAAGAAGTAAAGGCAGAAGTCTGTTTGGTGGAGGAAGGAAAAGGGAAAGAGGATAAGGTGTTAACTCTACCAGTGTGGGAGGAGGATATAAAAGATCAAGGGGGAAGGAGAGAGTTAAGTTTACCCCAGGCAGAAATAAAGAAAGATGAAAGAGAGGGAAAGGAGGAAGAACTGAGATATAGAACGCACAGGCTGTTAGTATACTTTCCCAACTTAAAAGTGGGAGGACTATTGCCGGACCCAGATCAAAAGGAAAAGAAGGTGACTGTGACGGAAACCCAAGAATTGGACAGTGATGGTCCAGTTCTGTATTTTGATGCAAATAGCACCTTCAGCCTATATGGTGGTTCATGGTAGTACTAGGATAGAGAGAAGGGGTTAAATTACCCTTTTTCTACCTTTGATTCTCATACTACTTACCCATGCAGCTGCAACTCATAATCCACAAAACCTGCACATTGACTCCATAAATGCAATTATCATACTATCTTGTTTTGTCCTCACCAGAGGAACCTGACTTACGTGTCACCTTTTTAATTGGATAGTCTGTTATGCTATAAAGATGCTTGCTAATGTATCCTTTACAGAAGACGGCCAGCATACAACTACTTGTTTTCTGACCACTCTACGTAATACTACCCAGTGCTGCATCCAAAACTCAGAAAAGGACAGGATAACAGAATGGGAAAGGAGAAGTAAGCAAGAAAACATATGTCCATGGGAATAAGCAGAAGACAGCTGAGCTTGTGCGTGGTGCAAACAAGATGGCAGACGATGGAGGGGGAAGGAAGAGGACAGACAGACTGAGGCTTGAGAATTGTCCAGGAACCAACGTACTCTCTAATTTTCTGCCCCACTGTGTGGGGCTCCACCTCTGTTGCGCGTGTGCAACTCCGCCCCCGCATGGGTGTGCAACTCTGCTCCCCTGCACGCTGGATTCTGTCACAACCGGAACCTAATGTGATCACTGCACAGAGGAGGAAGGCACCTGTGCAGAGGGAAGCAAAATTGTGTGTGCATGTGCCAAGCTTAGCAGGAACCTTGCCAGGAACCAATCCCCTGTTTTAACAAAGTAGGGGGTGGCTTACATGGCTCTCTTTAGGACAGGT